TACATACATACATACATACATACATACATACATATACATATACATATACATATACATATACATATACATATACATACACACACAGTGGTGCCTCGCTAGACAGTTACCCTGCATGACAGTTTTTTCGCTAGACATTGACTTTTTGCAGTCGCTATAGCGATTCGCAAAACAGTGATTCCTGTGGGGGAATTTCACTGGACAATGTTTGGTCCCTGCTTCGCAAACCGATTTTCACTAGACAATGATTTTGACAGCTTCCTCTGTGCTTGCAAAACGGGTGTTTTCGTGACCTAAGCTTTGCAAGACAGCGATTTAAACAGCTGATCGGCAGTTCGCAAAGTGGCTTTCCTATGGCTGATCTTCGCTAGACAACGGTGATTCTTCCCCATTGGAACCCATTAAACAGGTTTCAATGCATTCCAATGGGGAAATGCTTTTCACTAGACAATGATTTCGCTAAACAGTGATTTCAGTGGAACGGATTATCATCGTCTAGTGAGGCACCACTGTATAAAAAAGGAATCCCTTTTGTTGAATCTGGCATTCATGAGGTTAAATATATTAATTGTGGAGATGAGAGAGGTATTGATCTAATTTTTATTTGTTTGAAAAAAAGCATTTACCTTTAGAATTTTATGGACTATTATGGACCACAACAACCTTAATGTCTAAGATGTTCATGCACCCTCCAGACTTATTGACGGTGTAGAGCCACAAACAGTCTTGAGGCCATTTGGACATGGGTGGTGCCTTGCTCTCTTCTGTCAACTATACGGTTAGAAAATCATTTATGACGAACATCCTATATTTTTAAAAATGGTTTCTGCTTTGAATCCTAGTTTTACTTGGAAACACACACAAGAAAAACCCAAACCCTTTATCTTAAGAAGAAAGGCTTATTCATCAGGGTCAATCAAAAATATCTTGCTGCCACAGAGAAAGGACAAAATTTCCATTCATCTTAGGAAAGTGGATGTTTGGCAGCTTAAAATTATTTAAATACTAGAAATGAGAGTGAGTCCTCTGCTATGGAAGAAGGCAGCAGGCTAGCTTGGAAGGTGCAACATTGATTGGCACTCATAGTTTTATCTTCTGACATCTTGTTCACTGCTCTAACAAATGTGTCCTCATTTCCTGCCCAAATGAATGGTCCTGCAAAGCAACAGCTAGTGCACCACATCACTTGCTACTTTTTTGAAGGCTACCAGTTGCATTGCTAAAAACTGTCTCCAGTGCCATGACCTCTGCTGTTTGACCTTGTTCAGAATCAATTCATTCCATGTCTCCAGTGACCTCCAAAGTAGAGCTGGCTCCAGCCCTTCTGTAACAGTGGAGAGAACACTGTCTTGGTTCCTATCCTTCAGTGTTGCAGTTTCAGTACTGAATTTGGTACCAGCAAGCTCCAGGGGCTGCAACTGCAATAGAATATGAAGATTGAATGACTACACAGTGGTTGCCTAGTAGAGATGGGGATATTCATATTCATAAACAAATACGAATATTCCCAACTGAGCTGGACCTAATCAAGGTCCAGCCCCAGGACCGAACCATCCACTCATGTGCCCCGGCACTGTGAAGGTCCCACTCTTCCCACCAGTAGCTCCAGGAGCTTCACTGTCTTCCTGCTTGGCTGGCCACTCAGCAGCCGTGTGGGGAGACTCATCCTACCACCCCTGCCTGGAGTGGCCAACCAAGCAGGGAGACAGTGGAGCTCCTGGTGCCATTGATGGGAAGAGCAGGACCTTCACGGTACTGGGATGCATGAGTAGAAAGTCCATTCCTGGGGGGTGGACACTCATTAGGTCCAGTTGGGATGGGGATATTCATATTTGGTAGTTGTAGGTTTTGGCCATGTTCTGAAGGTTGTTCTTCCTAACGTTTCGCCAGTCTCTGTGGCCGGCATCTTCAGAGGGCAGGAGTCAGAACTGAGCACAGACAGAATTCTGACTCCTGTCCTCTGAAGATGCCGGCCACAACCTTCAGAACACGGCCAAACAGCCTGAAAAACCTACAACAACCATCGGATCCCTGCCGTGAAAGCCTTCGAGAATACATATTCATATTTGTTTACTAATATGAATATCCCCATTTATATAGCTTACTATAAATAGCCCTCAGAAGCAAAGTATAAAAGATTAATATAAGTTTTCTCCAAGGCCGATCATTACACAAAGAATAAATGAAATTAGTAGCTACCAGGTAAGGAGTTGCTAGCATTCACACTGCCAGATTCAACAGCTGTCATTCCAGCAATATCATCTTGTGCTGTCAGCAATTTTGGCTATACATTCCTACCGTGGTATAGAAAATGGAAATGGGCAAAAAGCTGTGTGTTGACTGTATCAAAAATAGATTCATGAGAAATCTACAACAAAGCTGCAGGACAATATCTGAGGAAGCAGCAGCAGCAAAGCTGGATACTATGAGGGCTATGATGCTCAGAGATACTATTGGTGAATCCTAAGGGTATGCCTAGTGTCCCAAAAGAGAAGCATTCTGTCTAAAACAAGTTTTGTAATAAATCTTCCCCAGACCTTCAGTCTTCCAGATCAATTTCTTAGCTATTAGGAAAGAAAAGAAATCAATGAGAGAGCAGGAAGAGATGGTGGTTGTGGGTTTTCTGGGTTGTTTGGCTGTGTTCTTAAGATTTTTTCTTCTTCCTAAAATTTCACCAGTCTCTGTGGCCGGCATCTTCAGAGGACAGGAGTCAGAACTCTGTCTGTACTCTGGTGCAGTTTGCTTGGATAGTTGAGTATTTATAGCTGTGGGAACAGCTTTTGTCCTGTTCAGGAGACTGAGTGATTATGATGATCAGCATGTATTTTGTTGTGGGTATATTGTTGTGATAAGGGGGAAGAGATGATCTGTCACCGTGATTTATGGGTGTCGTTAGCTGGCCTTTTGTGTGCAGTGATCGCTGGTCCTTGTGGCTGGGTAGAGTTCGTTGACCTTTTGCAGGCTGTATTTTTCAGTGCTGGGAGCCAGGCTTTGTTGAGTTTTAAACTTTCTTCTTTTTTGTTGAAGCTCCGCTGGTGTTTGTGGATTTCAATGGCTTTCATGTGCAGTCTAACATAATGATTGCTGGTGTTGTTCAGTACTCCAGTATTTTGAAATAGAATTTCGTGTCCAGCTTGTTTTAGGGCATGTTCAGCTACTGCTGATTTTTCCGGTGTTTTAGTCTGCAGTGTCTCTCATGTTCTTTAATTCTGGTGTGAATGCTGTGTTTTGCAGTTGCAGTTGTGGCCAGGTATATATTGGAACCCTATATAAGAACCAGTTCTGACTCCTGTCCTCTGAAGATGCCAGCCACAGAGTCTGGCAAAATACTAGGAAGAAGAAAAACCTTAATAACATGGCCAAACCACCCGGAAAACCCACAACAACCATCAGATCCAGGCCGTGAAAGCCTTCAAGAATACACAGCAGGGAGACAGTCTGGGATGTTAAGGAACAGGGAAATAGTTTGGTTCTTCAGTGGACACCATTCTGGCCTCACTGCTCTCTCTGAGCATTTCCCCATGTCTTCTATGGAACACAGGAAAAAATGAACTTTTTCCCCCCTCCCAATAATCTTATAATGGGATACATCTACACCTTCCACATTCTCTTTGCACAAATGCTATCTGTGGGAGACCCCTCTGCTCTCAAACCAAATGTTTTCCTTTTACTTGTCACACAGTTAGCTTTTCTTCAGCTAAATGTTTGACTTATGAGCATATTAGATTAAGTTTTGATTTTCTCCTTTTTCCTCCATTTCTTTATCTTCCTTCCCCCCCCCCAAAAAAAAAAAAAACACCTGCTGGGATTCCAACTCTCTGGGATCATTTTTTCCCTTTGATTATTTCCTGAAAAATTCAAGAAATTCAGGCAAGAAGTAGGTCTGTATATGGAATCTTCTTCAGTTCTCTATTGAGTTTTTAGGTGCTGTTTCTCAGAAGAGGCAGAGATAAATCTTTATCACTCACCTCTTAGGCCAAATAGTACTAGATGGAATGTAGCAAGTTATACACAGAAGTCTGGTAGAAGGTTAGGGGAAATGTAATGATCTATAAAAAGTCAATGGTGGGTTAATTCTGCATGTTGCAACTCTTGTAAATTGTATGAACAGCCAACCTCATGTTATGCCTTAATCCATTTTTGTGTATACTGCAATTGTCATTTACTGCAGTGGTTCTTAACCTTTGTTACTCGGATGCTTTTGAACTGCAACTCCCAGAAACCCCAATCAGGACAGCGGACAGGTTTTTGGGAGTTGCAGTCCAAAACTCCTGAGTAACCCAAGGTTAAGAACCAGTGATTTACTGGATCAAAGAAAGCCATTTTCATTGCATGTTCGACTGCCTTGGTTCCGAGCACAACACAACCACCTCCTGGGTATCAGTTGTCTTGACATTAACTGTTGTTCCTTTGCTATAAATACTAACTACACAGGCTGTTCCACCAATGGTCTATGTTCCTCTTCAGACACTTGTGCCCCAAACTCAAGAGTTCTGTGGCCTCTTTGAAAACCTTGGATATCACTCATATCTAGACTCCGAACTGGTGAACTACTACTGATTCCTTGTCAACATCATCGGTGGTTGCTTCTTCCCCATTTGTGGTAGTGGGGATAAACACCTTTTGATGTGTGATTAGTAATGTGCAACCCAGTATCAAACAGTTCCTTTCAATGGCCAACTTATTGGGCTGTCAAAGTAAGCCTCTATTGGTTCTTTCAGATAATTCACTTGGATCTCTCAGAACCTGCCATCAGCACCACATTGTCGGCTAGCATGCTGGGCCTCTTGTCATTAAGCAATCTAGTCATAAGCTGCCATCCATGCCTCATACACGATGCAAGACAGTACCAAGGAAATCACTCTTGTTTTCCTGTTTTACTCCCTTGTCCCCAGCTTCATCACTCTTAAGATGTCCTGGTGTAAGATGTGTCAACAGCCTTACTTTGCTCTCATTGAACAAGGGAACAAGAAGTTGGATGCTATGGAATTAAAATTCTATTGCATGGCAGTCCTGGCACTGAATCAAATGATCAATAGTGCATGGTGGCTTATAAGCAATTTGGGGAGAGCTGATGTAACAATTTTCTTGGAGTGTCTTTGAGAACAACACTACAACATGGCTATGGTATTTCAGGCAGAAGAACATCAGCTGCTGGCCTGTTGATTAGCATCTCATGCCACATGGCAGACTGTGGATCAAAAGCCGTAACAAGAACTGAATTTTTTCATCAATATGCTTGGCTTCACTTTTCAAGGTTAACCCAAGAATGAGAGATATGTATTTCTATATGTGATTGTGCCTGGAAGCTGGGCAAGTTCCAGAAAATAAAAACTACTGTCTACAGGTGGGTACCCCTTTCTTTGCAGAGACTGAAATGGCTCTGATCCTATTGTAACTGCTCCTCTTTGCATTTGACCAATCAGCACAAATGCTTAATTCCAGTAGATGGAATATCATTGGGCACCTTACTGAATGCAGTGTGACTTTTTCTGAGTAGCATTTTTGAACTTCCAATCATGCTTGCCTGTTTCTGTCACTTACGACACCAGTAATCAACAGACTTCTTCCTTCCTTGATACTCAAAGACCATCACCATGGATGATCTTCAGAAATGCTTACCATCATGCACCTAGAATCTGAGTCTCACCCCTGAGTCATCATCTATTCCAGTCATCCATTTTCAGTGTTCTGGGAGGAGATGCCAGTGCTTTTGTTTAAATGTGTAGTAGAAGATCTACCTGCTTACTGAAAGTCCTTTCCCTATTATTTCATAGTATTGAAAAAGAATTGAGGCTGAAATTCATATCTTTTATCTGAGATACCAGCTTCTTCATCCATCTGAAGAAGATTTTGCATGGTTACTCTTACCAGTATTTTTCAGCTCCTCCAAAGGGTTGTTTGACTTGCTAGTACAAGCCTAAACATCTAACTTCTGTTAAGGGAGTTGCTGATTTCTCAGATTCATAATGAGTCATTGGTCAGAATTTTATAGGTGATGAATGCATGTAGGAGCGGAAGTGTGTACGTTACAGCGGCAAATTGCCTTTCATTAGTGGTTGCAATCCAGATCACATGCCTTGTTGTGCAGGGGCATGCAACCAAGCATATGATGGGCATATTGTTAATTAGAAGAAATTTGCTGCTGCAAGTTATGTGATTCTGCTTAAGTTAGTTATGTGCTGCCAAGTCAGAACTGACATATAGCTACCCTAATATGGCTTTCAAGGTAGTGAGAGATGTCAGGAATGGTTTTATCAGTTCCACTTCACTTACATGTATATAAAGTAACAACAGGATTGTAGTAATTGGATGTACTATTTCAAAGTACTGCTCTTCATTCAGCCCTGCTACAATTCCAAGTTGTTTTTTTCTAGGTGGAAAGTGGAAGTGGGAGTCCAGTGTGTCTCCTGGAATCATCCTGTTATATGGCTTCAGTACATAATGCCCTTGTGTGCAATCTACACAATATACTTCCAGTGAAGGGGATGAAGTTTGAACTGAAACTTTGTTCAGCACTGCAGTGTTCCAAATAAGGCTCTGCGAAATTACATATGTATGAATATGCAGATGACCATTCGAAGAAGTACAGTTGCAGATTAACAGTCCATCCTTTTACATTTAAGAAGAACAAATTTCACAGAATGCTTTATCCCCTTAGAGATAAAGACAGTGACATACTTGAGTTTTCCCTTACTTTTTTTTAATGAGGTGCATTTTGTCTTGAGATGTGCCCCATAATGTCTATACAGTCCATTAGGAAGAGCTTGTGTGTCAATAAACCATGACTTGAACATTTCTTTCCAGTTATAATTCATATCTATTAGCTGTCTTTCTATTGAAATAAGTGAAATTGAAGATTTACTCCATGTTTTCTGATTTTGATTGCTTGTTTTTGCACCTGAGGTAAAACTACTGATGGTGGCATTTACACTGCAGGGCACATCATTTTCCTCCGATCTTCAGTGAAGCAAAAACAGCTCCTCAGTTTCTGAAATGTGTTTGATCCTGATAGATATTTTTCCTTTATATGTTGCATGCGTTTGTGTGGGCTCATTTCTTTTTCCCAGTCAGTGATGTAATTTACATTGCTCGTGTTAATATTTTATGTCTCAAACAGAGAAGTCTAAATAAAAAAGTCTACACCATTTGGCTTCTTTTAGCTACAAAATGTACATCTTTATATTGTCCAAAGATATCCTGTGATCTGTGTACCTCTTCTTAAATGTCTGTGCACCTTGTGGGATAAAGAGAGGGTTGGCCATCACCCAGCTCCTTTCCAGACTATGTACTGCTCTCCTCTATGGAGCAGAGACTTGAAGGATTTAATGAAGCCCTTATTTGAACTATTTAGGACATTGAGAAGTCCGTATGTGTGCTGCTTCTTTTTCGTTCCTCCGTTTGCCTAGTTGAGGTCTAGGCAAATGATCCTTCTATGTAGTTTAAAGCCAGCTGTGCTCAAAGTGTCATCTTCCAGTCTGTTCTTCTGAGCTTGCCTGGCCATTACTACTTAGAAACATTCCCATGGAAGTGTCATATTGTAGTGTAAATACAATCCCTTATGTCTGGTATGCTTCTGTCATTTATGACACCTGGCATAACGTAGTGCCCATAAATGAACATTTGGCATCCTGAAGCTTGTTCTCAGCTAATGAGTGCTGCCCTACCAAACTGTCCTCCAAGAATCAGAAATGTTGGGCTTTCAGACTTCCCATAGATTTTTTCATAATGTGCTTGGAAAGAAATGTGTGCGGTTGGAAACAGATTTGCAGTTTGAGGAGTAGAGGGGGGTAAATTAGACAGATTATGTATATCATTTGTGAAGAACCTAAATGATAGACAGTGTTACGTAAAACAATTTATATAAGGGTTGGAAAATATTTAAACTGAACTATCAAAACAAGATCATAACAACTTCATATTTTGGAACTTCCGCTTCTTCACCTTCATTAGTCCGGAAAGTCTGCAGGCCTTATTGAATGCAGTGCAAATCACTTGGAAAATTTGTGTTTGGCTTTTGAGATCTTCCTTAAAAAATAAAATAAAAACTCTGCGTGGGGCTGGGAAATAGAATCTGTAGCTGGCTAGCAACTGACACCTCATTAGAGTAACTTTAAGTAGAACTGGTAGATATGGGATGCAAAGGGGCTCTGAACTTTATACCAGTGAGGAAGTTCTGTGATGGAGGTTGATCTGGTTTCTGCAAATTCCCATAAAGGATCTAGCACAATCACAATTCTTCCTGTATATTCTTCATTGATTTCACGTGTGTCACAACATATGTCCAGTGCAGTATTAAGATAATACGAATCAAAGATAAATTGCTAAATTTTAGGAGAAAAGGCATTCATCAAAGAAATTACCCAGCTCCCTCTGTTCTTATCTTACAGTAATTGGTTTTTCATACAGTTTGGTTGAATTCTTCTTAAAAGACAGCATAATTATAATTGAGCAAGCCTGGCTCAATGCTATCTGGCTCAAAATGATCTTCCTGTAAACCCTATGGCAGATGAGTGATTAGAGACCACAAAATTACTTCAGAATAATAATTAGTGGTGCTGTACTGTACAGAAGGAAGGAATTAAATGAAATTAATGGACTTTGAAGGGATTCTTAGCTGCCACTTGTCAGTGGTATATTTTTAAAAATACTTCAAGATGCCAGTCATTTAAATGCAGACTTCTATTTTGCTACTGAGGAACAATTACAATGAAGTGAGAAGAGATGACATAATTACTGCAGTCTAGTCATGATTCCTTTCATGATTGTTGAGTGGTGTGTTTAAAATGTGCTTGTTTGAGTAACAAACCAAATGTTTCTATCCTTTAAATTCTGTAATTTTAAAAGGTTGTGTAGCACAGTCACCTTGAAATATATGTCAGTTTTGCTACAGTCAGTTTCTTAACCAGACTCCCGCTGATGGAGGGCTTAAACTGTAGACAAAGGTGATCAGGGAGAAACCAAGGTGGCCTTTGTTGTCTGGAACAATGCGAGGATTTCCTGTAGTTGGCACCTCAGTGACCTACTCTGCTCCTTCACAGATTGATTCAAGTAAGTACTCACAAACCATTCATTGCTAAGTTTTCATTCTTTAACGGAGCTGTTCAACCAGAGCCAGGATCTGAGAAGCCTACATGCACTCACCCAATGAGAGAACTGGGAAGATAACACCATTCAGTTCCCTTTACACAAGGTAGCCAGTGTTGTGGCCAGAAAAGGTTGCAGTTCCAGTCTTTCACCTTTTTGCCTCTGCTCCTTTTTCTACCCTTTATAAGAAGTTCCCATTGTTAGGTCTTAGAATTAGAAAATGAGTTTTTAGACTTCAGAAATAGAAACTGTAATGAAATTTATCTGTGGCCAGTGTGTTTGTTCCAGATACTCAATTCCATTTCCCCTTCTTAGGTTTCTGTTTCCTCTTCTAACAGCAGTATTCCATGGTCTTCACTGTATTTTTCCCCATAAAGATTTGACTATGTGTATGGGTACTTATGCAAACCTAAGATTTCCCCCTCCTGGACAGTATTGTTCTGGCTGCAAACAGATCTAAATTTGGAGAATGGGTTGCCCAGAAGTATCTCCAATTCAATTCTTCAATTGAAGATTATGAATGTGGGATAGTGTGTTTCTGTACCAGCAATTCAGAAAGCCAGGAAATGGCTTAATATTGCTGCCCAATATTGTGCCCATGGTGCCAGCAGGAAAAAGGATGCCAAACTTTACATAGCAAAGGTCAACTTGAATGTTGACAACACCAATAGCAGCTGTCAAGATGGTCTACAGGATGACCTCTTCTGCTCATTACCATTCACACTTGTTGAAAAACAGCCCTGACAATTGTTTAGTGTTTGGGTGAGAAGTGGTTTATTGATGAAAAAAGTCAGCTTCTAGGATTTTCCCTTGTTATGGTGTCACGTTGTGAATGGTCATGGTGCTGAGGACAACACCTTGACCATTAGCCTGTGGTGTGTCTCAAGGTTCCATTATTCCCCATACTATTTCACATATATATGAAAAACCTTAAAGAGGCTGTCCAGAATTTTGTGGTCAGGTGCCACCAGTTTGGACGAGATGGTTGGACAGTGTCATCGAAGCTACCAACATGAATTTGATCAAACTCCGGGAGGCAGTGGAAGACAGGAGGGCCTGGCGTGCTCTGGTCCATGGGGTGACGAAGAGTCGGATATGACTTAACAAATAAACAACAACAACAACCAGTCTGGTGATGACACCCAGCTCCATCTGCTTTATAAGTTCTTTCAGGAGACCCTTCTCTCAGGCCCCAGTGGGTGGTCACCCAGCTCCACCACCCCAAATGCAACATAGAATCTCTAGTACTGTCTTACACTAACACTACAAAACTATGCACCGAAGGACCCATGATTTCTGTCTTGTTGTCTCAGGGCAGTGATGGAATCTGTGACTGGACAGTGGTTTGGAGATGATCCTGCATGAAAATCCTATGGATCCATGAAGATCTATGCTTTAGATGCATGTTTTTGCATGACTAAAGCCATGCACTGCAGGTCCCTCAGTTTCTGTGTTTTAGTGTGTGGACAGAGATGGAACCTATAATTGAACCATGGTTTGGGGATGTTCCTACATCAAAATCATGTGGATTCTTGGAGACCCATGCATTTTGCACCACTGCAAAGCCATGCACCTGGACCCATGCATTACATCCATGTTTTTGCACCACTGCAAAGCCATGCACCTGGAGACCCATGATTTCTGTGGTATAACATGTGAGTGCAAATAGGATCTATGGCCTGACATTGGTTTAGGGAGGATAATGTCTAAAATCATATGAAATCATGTGAATCCATAAACTTAGGAGTAAACTGGGTAAACCATGCTTTGAGAATATTCAAAGTCATAAAAGAGGGGGAAATTTATTTCACAGCTTAAATGAATGAGCTGCTTTATATTATTATCTTTTTTTAGAATAGGTTTTAAAATCTTTTCATAGGCAGGATTTAAGAATGTGTGGCCAGAAAAGGGTTACTTGCTTTTTTTTCACACTGAAGCCCCTGGCAGGGTCAAAAAGGGACAGATACCTGTCCTGTAGGCTGACTGGAGACACATTCGAATTGGCTAGGATGTTATGCCATGCAAATAGTTCCTTCAGAATTCTCAGAAGTTATTTTAAAAAAGGAGTAATTTCAGAAGTATTAGGGGCTAAAAAACAGTAATTAAAGGGTTTGAATTAGAGCCATGAATGGCTAAATTTCTATGGATGAAAAAAAGAGGGAGCTTTAAATGGAGGTTTTTCTCCCCAGATAAGTATATCTTATCTACTTTTTTTATCTCTTTTCAATTACGTGAGATTTCTGGTCCCTTGTATCTTTACAGGGTAAATAGTGTTACTTTTTTTTAAAATCACAACTTGAAAACCCTTTGCTCAA